CACACACACACACTCTCATAGTGCAACTCTGCTTCTCCTAAAATTCCATTTGTCCCCTTTTTCTCTTCCTCCCTTCCTTTCTCTCTCTGCTTCTCCCTCCTCGTCTCTCTCCTTTTCTTTCTGTCCTTAGTCCTCCTCTTTTTGTCTGTCAGTGTCTCTCCTGGAGGTATGCACACATGACTCCCTTTTATCATCTGTGGGCGGCTCTGTTTCTGTCATCGTGATGATGAGTGCGAGGGCACACAAAGCAGTGCTGATGCTGATGGTCGCAAACGACGGCACGTGCCAGTGGCTGTGGATGGCCTCATTTAGCACGCCCAGCTGCATAGTCCATGATTGGGAACATTTGAGCTTGGATGACCCTATTCAGGTCCAGAACGTCTGGACCAGCCACATGATTGGTCAGGAAGCCTACTTTTGTTTTCCATGGGGCTCTCTGTCACCGGCATTGACATTAGTTTGTTATCACCTCTGAGGCGTTGCATACCCGGGGAATCGGCGGGATCTGCAGAGTCCACAGTCCTGGGGATCTGCACAGTGCAGCACCAGATTGGACTCGGTAGCAAGGGGAAAAAGGTTGAGAACTTGAGATCATACCTGGGGAGCTGTACAGTGCACAGTCCTGTCATAGCTTTTTGGGGTGCTCCTCAGATTCAAACCTGCAGAGGTCTAGTCTGCCAAAGATTGCGTACTGGCGATCAAACTCACGAAAACCTAGGAGATGTGTCCATCTCTGCAATGAGGGTTTGGAATTGGATCTTTTAGAAATCGTGGCATTACATCCTTTACTTGCCTTGGTTCGAAGAGGCAGGGTCAACGAATCGCAGCTCATCGAGCTGGGCGCAAGGATGCCTGCAACCGAACGACCCATAACTACACAAGTTAATAGAGCTCCCTAGAACGAGATAAGTGCATTCTGTGGTGAACCTGACTCGGGAACCGAACGCCTTCATCAAAATGCAACATGCTCAGAGTTTCTCAATGAGAAGAACCGGCAAAGAGAGTGCAATGTAGTCACATGAAATAGACAGAAAGAGAAGAATAGGAGAAGAAGAATAAGTCAAGGTCGTGCTGTAGTGAACCTGAATCAGAAGCAAACACCTTCATCAACATGCAGCATGCAGATGTTTGCTCAATGAGCAGAACCAGTACAGAGAGAGCAATCTGGTCATATGAAATACGCAGAACAAGAGGAATAGCTGAAAAAGAGATACTCAAGATAGTAATCAATCATGTCAATTCCTGGTGTCTTTTCTCCCTCTTCTACCACTCGGGTCTTCCTCCAATCACCACCTCAGTGGTCACCATCCGATCAACGACTAGTGATGAAGCTACCGTCTTCGCCCGAATAGAACGGCAGTCATTATCGCTGCATCTGGACTGAAAGTTCCCTGAAATACAGTTGTAATTACAGGGCGTTTTATTCGGGTGAAGACGGTAGTCTCTGCACACCCAACACCTCGCCGATGCAGAAAGTTGCTCTCAAAAAGTCTCTTTGGTGCTGGCTACTAACCAAGCCAGCGCAGTGAAGAACAACACCGGAGGACTCGACAATGCCAGCCTTCAGAAGAACCCCAACGGTTAAGACAGGCATCTATCTCTCTCCCTCAATGGCTATGGTCTCTCCTTCAAATGTCTGTCTTCTCTCGCTAGGCTATGGTGTAAGGAGCAAGTACTACTCTAGCTATGGCTACAACCTGTCACTCTCACTCTGTCTCAGTTCTGCTTTGCTACAGTGCTAGTGCAGAGAAGCGGTCCAGCATTTCCAGTCTCTCCACACTCAACACCTCGCCAATGCTCAAAGTTGCTCTCCAAGTGAACATCTCTGTGGTGCTGGCTTACAAAGCCAGGGCGAGGAATAACAACACCGGACAAAAGAATGCCACTTTCAGAAGAACCCCTACAAATAAGTCCAGGCAGCCTTCTCTCTCTCTCTCTCTCTCTCTCTCTCTCTCTCTCTCTCTCTCTCTCTCTCTCTCTCTCTCT